TAAAAATATTTCAGGGCTATAATTAATTAATTAAGTAATGGATTGATGTGGAAATAACTTTGCACTTTATTTCGCTATCACATGGAAACTCATATGGGTGTTTATAGCCATCAATCAAAACTAATGATCAAATTTGCATATGAAACCAATTGGAAGCCAAACACTTGTTCCAATCCGCAATTTGGCTTCATTTTTATAATCTCATCATTCTCACAAGATAATGTGATTTGTGAATTGATGGCGATGGCCAAACAGCTTATATCTTCACTTATCGATCTATTGAGGTTATTTTAAATGGACAGAGATTTATTTTAATAAGTGGAATTAATTGTGGTGGAGATCGAAGTACTGTGCATGTTGCAATATAAATAACAGTTTTGAGGAGAAATATTGGCTCCCTCTTCACATATTTCATAAATCATAATCATAATACCAATAAAAAAAATATACATCGTGATTAATTTTTCAGTGATAAATATTAAAATATTAGTATATCGATCAAAACGTTATCTGAAGTTTTTTTTTTTTTTAGCATATCATATTCCATTAAAGAAGCAGCCTATTGGCCTACTTACACTACATATAGAAATGAGTATCAAATCCAATATATATAATAAAGTAACACCTTATTGATTTATATACATCTAGCTTTCTTTTCTTTTGAATTTTTAAGAGCCATGGATTGCCCTGTCCATAAGCTTCAAATGTCTTCATCATGTATGGATGTTCTTCACTATTCTCCGCCTCTTATTTTATTTGGTGGCCACCTTGCATGATACATGAAAGAATGTGTATATAATATATACACTATTTGCCTGATAATCTTTTTCTTTTTTTTTAGTGTGGAGTGAGCTGTTTGAAAATTGGGGAGCTGAAAGTTCTATTTTAGGTGATGATGAATAGAATAGAGTCACAAGTCATAAGCCTTGATTGGGTAATAATCCTTTCGCCTGATGACATGTTAATAACCTAATTAATTAGCCAATGTGGTGATATATGCATCCTCTCAGTGATTGCATGCGTACTGATGATCTCTTCTTATCTATCCGTGATAGCAACTTGTGCAAGTGGTCCTTGAGAGACAATAATTAGAAACTATTACCTTCTCTCTTTAATATAAGAGCCATTTAACTAATTTGAGTAGATTAAAAAAGTTTGTTAAATTAGTTATTTGCAACAAATGAGTTGAATTTCCTCAAGTATCCTTTTAATCATGATTACCCTTGGTTAAAAAAAACCTTTAATATGTATAATCAATAGGGATATGTTAGATAATGAATTATAAATTTGAAAGATAAAGTGGATTAATGTCATCTTATTATATTTAGAATCAAATACAATTCTCAGCTAGCTCTTATACTAATGACCGGAAGTAATACTATATACATACATTTCTCCATCAGTGCGATGTACGTAAATTTAATTTCCAAGATTTACTTTAACTAACATTAACTAACATGAAAGTTATTATATATCATAATTGTGTAATCCATATCTAATCAGATTGCTCCTATCCTTTTAATTTACAAGGGCTTGTTAACTTCTAGGTAATCCTTAATATAAGAGTTGGTTTGTAAGTTGGATTAGATTCTAAATAAGTAAATATAAGATCTTAATATACTTTTAATTTGCTTCCCACTTATCTGCTTTTTAAGTATATTTAAGTTAGTTAAATAGTTCTTATATTGAGGATCGAAGAGAATATCTAATCCTCTTATTAAATTTGTAATACACATATTTCATTTTACTTCTAGTGCTCAGAGTAAAAACTTTTCAATTTGAAAACTCGTCTCCTTAACTTAAAAGCTAACATCAATTCTCAAGTCCAGGCAAATATCACTTGCAAAGAGTACACACATAAGGATTTATTTCCTGGATATGTTTACTCTTCGGTACCAAATCAAACAAGAGTTTTAAGGATGTTTTATGCAGCATGATGCAGACCAATGTTTCCCTTTTGTTTCACGTCAAGACGCTCAAATTCATCCTGCGCGAATATTGGCCAGAATGAAGGTTAGGCACCATTCCAAGCCCTCTCTGAAAGGTGTATTTTAATAAAAGCTAAAAGCTAAGCCCCAGAAGAGGACACAACAATATCTCTTATTGATAATAATTAATAGCAGGGAAGGGCCAATCAAATGGTGCCGGCGTCTCTGGGTCACCACCATACGCCTTTCTTCTTCTTTTTCTCATTTTGCTCTTTTTTTCTGTCAAGTCAAAGCCAACGTTTTCTAACTGCATTTAAATGTGTACATCAACGTTGATTTCTCCGCCTTGTAATTCTCATCAGGACAGAGAAAGCCGCGGCGTGGAGGAAAAATGTATGATTCTTACTCTATGATCAACAACACATAAAAGGCTATCTAGTTATCCATGCTTTATTCAAAACGCCATATTTATAATAATTAAGCATCAATTGGGCAGTACATATGTGTGTGCGTGTGTGAGGCATAGAAACTGTCTCATAATTAATTAAGGAGAAACTTGCTTGCATCAGCTTCTAATAAACAGCAGTGATAGATAGATATATATGCCTCCAATTCATAGAACGACAACTATATAACTAGCTAGCTACCTATAGCTTATTTATCTATATATGGACTCTATCTTGTCCCCATACGGGATAAAAGCCTACTAAGTTTAGAGTTTATTTGGAAACGCATTGGAGCTTTCAAAAACATGATTTACAAAATGTGATAAGAGTTTTGTCTTGACTTACACATGAAAATACTTATAAGCACTAAAGATAAAAAGATGCAAAGGAGCCCTTAGCAATTAAGCGAGCATATATGGTTCTTTTTATGCTTATTGATGATTATTAGTAGCAGATAGGAAACGTCTCAGGCACTAGGCCTGCACAGGGACCTGATGAAACCATTTTCACTGATTCCTCGTACATTTTGGGAGATCTGTGGCGGAGCCTCGCATACGTAGTATGTAAATTTTACAACTTTATTTGCACCCTCCCTTCAAATATGTTAGCTATATGATATGTTGACTCCAGGGGGAAGAGTTGTTTATTAGCTTCCTTTTCTTCTTCCAAAGGCGAATTCTAGATTTTAAATGAAAAAATAAAGACAGATTAGTATTGGATGAGCAACAAGGTTCATAAAAATCATGTGAAAATTTAATGACAACAAACTAAGTTCAATGTAGAAGATTTAAGATGATACAAGGAAATTGCGTCTAACTAAATAAAGTAAAATCCGTAACAATGACACTCGTTGAAAATGGTAAATAACAGAGTTGTTTTATGCAGAGATGGAAGGCCCACATCAATAATTGGGTTAACAAAACCAGCATGTTGCTTCCATAAAAAAAGAAATAAAACAAAGCAGCCTAATGAAGCCAAGCCAGCTTCTCCAGATTATTATTCACATAGATCAGAAGCAACGATCATTTTCATTTTCGTCATGTTTTCATCATTTCATTATTTTCTTCTCTTGCTTCTTCCTCTAATGAAGACCCTCCCTCGTATCTCAAACTACATTTCTGGAGTCCGCTAATGAAACTATCCGCGTCACTTAATTAACTGCATATATAACCCCGTTAATACGGTTAATTAGAAGGATAGTTTTGAGTATATATATTTTATGGAAATCATGAATTAATGTTTAACTAAGTTTCATTTATAGAGTTTCTTGATACTCACTTCGATCCTTTTTATATGGTATAAATAACCAAAATCACATAGATGATTAAAATTATTTAAATATAATCAATATGTAAAAAATATAATTTAGTTTTCATAAAACATCCTTAATTATATATTAAGAGTTAGCAAGGGAACAAATAAAAAGATGAAACTAAAATTTCAGAAAAGCAGTTAGTGTCTCTTATTAATAAAACCATGTTATTGGGTTAAAACAAAAAACTTTCATGAACATGTTTTATAATGTTTCTTGTATAAAAATATGAAGACGGAGTGCCACCCAACAGGGGGCTTGATTGGGCATGGACGAGAATGGGTACCCTAACCTGAAACGTGTTAAATAAAGGAAAGCGGAAAGTGGAGTTGAATCAGGTGGAGTGGGGACCAGAGAGGAATTATTAAGAAGATGAAGGGGAGGGATGAGGGATGGGTCACATGGTTTGGATTGGAATGCCCACTGCTGAAAAAGTCCGCTGCTTTTTGTTCCCCTGTCAGCTACCGACTCCCTCATGAGGCAGCCAATGTAAATGTTACCTTCGTCTCTACCTTTCCTAATTTTATATATTTTTCTTTCTTTTTAATTATTATTTCTTTGTTTTTAGTCATGGACCGCACTCCCACTTCCTCCCACTTCTTCCCCCTGCTTATATTTATTCCCCACATTATTAGTCATAATATTTAGTCTTAATTAATAAATATACCTTTTTCTTCTTTTGTTTTAAAAAAAAAGTAAAAATACTCAATTTATTACGTGAAGATATTTCTTCTCTTTTTTCTTTTTGACAAAATCAAGATATTTCTTTTCTAAATATCCCTCTCTCTAAAAGTAAAGTTTCCCTATTCACTCTTTTTAATATTTTTTTGAATTGAATTATATATAGCCCATTTATCACAATAAAAAAAAATTCAACTCCTAACTTTTTCAATGATATATCTTCAACTCTCAACAGAGGATCAACATGATCTGGTAAACCAAATTAAGAAATAATTCTTTACGACTAATAAATCATTAATGAATTATTTTTTTGGTGAATATTAATAGCATAGTGCTAATTATTCGTAATACACACGGTTCAACAAAAAAAAAATCATCGGTCTCAGCTACAGTTTTTTTTTTTGGGGTAAATCCAGAAGAATTCAAATCAGCTATATGACCCATGTTTTATGCTCTCTTCCTTTGATAAGACAAAATATTTCCGAGCCACATATAAATATATTGAATTATATATGAAGCAATTGGGTTAATGTAGCCAATAGTGTATCATCTTTTACGTCACATTCAAAGTATTAAGCATTCCTTCTCCTCATCAAGTTGCAGGAGGCCTTCCTCAGCATGATCATCGTCTCTTCTGCTTTATATCTGTTCATCACCCCTTTCATTTCACCCTTTCAGCCGTTATTCCTCACCATGCCACCAAAGCAAGGAGAAGTATAAGAATCTTACGCCCTCCCTATTCCTTTCTCTCTCTCTCTCATATGCTCATTTGCTCTTAGTTACGAGTCATCACCCCAGATAGATACACGATCATTTAGTAACGTGAATTTGTGTGTTTACGTCATTTCTCTGTAGGTCATGTGGCCTAGATTAGTTGCTAGTAAGATACTGAACAAGCGATTGGGAAGCAGCAACTTTGTGGCAGATTATTCAACTAACCTAGAACCATTATTGGGCTTCACAACCATTGATGATCATTCGACTCTGGGCTCCAAGACCAATAATCTTGACGATCTCAAGGAGACTCAAAAGTACAAGTAAGATCCCAAACATATGCTCTCTTTTCAATTCAATATTCCTAGTAGTCTGCTTGGTATCTTCAGAAAAAAGCCACTACTACCAAATCTATTCTGGATTGACACAGCTCTTTGAATAAAAGGAGGCAGTATTTCACTGCCGTTTCAGCCTATATTTGATTTTCTCTAGAAACCAGACTGGGAATGATATCTTTAATGCACCAAGAAGATGCAGGAGTGCACCTTTAATGTTAATCTAAGAAGGACTTCACTGTGTGTGCGCGCGTGTATATATACATGGTCTATATTTCTTCTGCTGTTATGCTTTATTCCAATTCTAATACTTTTATTGAGACAGTTTTATCTTGGATGCTTTCCATAGGATATTTGCTAGCACATGGAACGTAGGAGGGCTTGCACCAGATAAAGATTTGAACATAGATGATTTGTTGGAGACAAGTGGCACCAACTGTGACATCTACGTGCTTGGGTATCTCCTATAAAGGAAAAAAAAATCCCTTCTAGGATTCATATATTGGAATTGGACGTCGATGAAAAATTACGATCGAACAGAGTCGTTTTTCTGACATTATTATATGCAAATGTTTTGATGTTCTGATTCCGCTTATTTTCACTATCCAGGTTTCAAGAAATAGTGCCTCTGAAGGCATCAAACGTGCTGGGATCTGAGAACAGGAAGATCTCCATGAAATGGAACTCGTTGATCAGAGAAGCTTTGAACAAGAGAACGGGGGGTCGTACGGACATGGTGGGGAATAATATTGATGAGAATAATAATAGTAATAAAAATAATGAGGTGGAGGAGATGGGAAACCCAGCTCAGTACAATAAAATAGCCCCACAAGATTTCCAGTGTATCATTAGCAAACAAATGGTTGGTATCTTAATATCTGTGTGGGTTAGGAGACATCTCCGTCCATTCGTTCAGCATCAAAGTGTCTCATGCGTAGGCTGCGGGATCATCGGCTGCTTAGGAAACAAGGTGACCTCCCAAACAACCCCACTTCCCCAAAATGATCATACTATATACTGTATCTATACTTTATTTTACACTTAAATACACGTATATACTGGTACAGATACAGAACCCCACATGATTTAAACAGTATATAATTACACTTGGCGCTGCATGTTTTGATGTAAATTTAAGGTTAATGTGATGTCGTGTTTGTGTATATAGTATATGCTGCATCAACAGTCACCACCACTGTCTACATCAACAGCACTAATTATCAGTAGCCAATCAAAATGAAATCCAAATTTTCATTGGTTAGCGCTAATCTTATTATAATCAAATTGATATGTTTGCAGGGTTCTGTGTCCGTGAGGTTTCAGTTGCATGAAACAAGCTTCTGCTTTGTTTGCAGTCATCTGGCTTCTGGGGGAAGAGAAGGAGATGAAAAGCTTAGGAACTCTAATGTCTCTGAAATCTTTTCCAGGACAAGCTTCCCTAGAGGAGGCCCTTTGCTTGATTTGCCTAAAAAGATTCTTCATCATGAGTGAGTAAATTAATATATTTTTGAAACCGTCCAAAACAATTTTTAATGATTCTTTTTCTGTTCTTTCCCTTCTCTATTTTTTTGTTTATTATTGGGTTCCTTTCTCAACAAAACATGAATAACAAGGTGGGAAATAAATAATATTACTTGCTTTCTTTTGGCAATATGGAATATCTAATTAACTTGCTTAATTAACATCATTATTGTTCTCCGACTTTGGACTTGTCTTAATACGATGGACAGGTTAATTAGGCCGCCGAAACGTTAACATATTAATTCTTGGTTGGTTGTTCTGTTTGCAACTAAACTTTAAATCAAATTATTAATTTTTTAAGAAGTAGTTAGGAAATTGTTTTTGTTAATATAGTGGGTTTGTGAATTAAAAAGAAGTTTCCAAGTCAGCCAAATAAATTAGCTAAACCGCCACTCTGAAGAGATAATTTTTTCATTAACTAGCAACCTCTTGTAGTTGAGATTCATTATAATCAGTTAACCTCATAGTCACTTGATAATTAATTCACCTTTAGTTTGAAGGCAACTTGCACTTAACTTTCTACTCTGACACCCATATATTGCGTATATTTTGTCTAGACATACGTATTTAATTATCCGAACAATTGCTTGTCTTTTGCAGCCTGGTAATATTGCTTGGAGATTTAAATTATAGAATTGCTCTACCAGAAGAAACGACACGCTTACTTGTTGAAAGTAAACACTGGGATTCCTTACTAGAAAATGATCAGGTAATAAACAAACATGTCGACGAGGAAATGAAGCTAAACTCTATCTATATATAGTCTATACATGCATATGAAGCGCGAATATCCGAGCATATTTGACATAAAATTCGTTTTTGTCTGTGTCTGAATCTTTTCCTATATTCCTATATATGCTAGCTAGCTCCTTAATCACTTAATTTTCAAATTCTTTCTCTGACTTTTATGATTTGCAAATTACATGAAGCTAAGGACGGAGCTGATGAGTGGGAGCATGTTAAGAGGGTGGCATGAAGGAACAATCAGATTTGCCCCAACTTACAAGTACTGTCCCAACTCAGACGTCTATTATGGATGCTTTTACCATGGAAAAGGGGCACAAAAGAGGAGAGCTCCTGCATGGTATATATAGTTAGAGCACTAACATCAATTTTAATTCTAATTAACAATATAATGACTTGTTGATTAGTGTATATGTATGTACTTAATCATGTGTTTAGCGTATGTGTACTTACTTATGTGTTTCTTCATTAATTATATAGGTGCGATCGGATAATATGGTATGGTAAGGGTTTGAAGCAACTTCAGTACACAAGAAGTGAATCAATGTTATCAGACCACAGGCCTGTTAAGGCAATGTTTAGTGCAGAGGTGAAGGTTTTACCAACACTGAAGAACTTGCATAGCCTGTTTCTGTCGGAGAGATTTGAGCAGCTTAAATCCCACATTCAAGTTTCCTCCACTGATGAGTTATTATGTAAAACGCAAACAAGCTTCCGGTTATAGAGCAATTGATTGTGTGATTCTGTATATATATTATTAAATTTTTAATGTTATATATTCTCAAAAGCTGAAAAACAGGGGAAAGAGAGAAGAGAGAGAGTGTGTGTGTGAAGGAGGGAGAAGAGAAAATTGTCAAAGGGAAACTTCTCGGAGAGGATGGTAATTGTAGTTTTTTTTTTCTGTCAAAGGTTAAATTATGCTGAAATATATATTTTGAAGAAAGTCATATCATTATAAATTGAGAAATTTATATGAAAGGGGGTTGTCCAAGGGAGTTACAACACTAAAAATCATTAAGGTCATATATTGTATAGTTGAAGGCAAATTAATCCAATTTATACTTGAACATTGTAATAGGCAGGGACGAATTAATTCTTGAAAATGTTGCGCACACTCTCTTCTTTAAAAAAAAAAAAAAAAAAAACCATTGCCACCAGCATCATTCCTCACATTGCTAGATTCTCGGATGCTAAATGGCTAAATATAAAACTCCATGGGGGCATGAATGACGGCCTGGCCTAGCCAGTTCAAGGTTCAAATCAATAAATATTAAATAATCGATTTTTCTGCGTTTGGAGTTAGTGCAAATATATATGGCATTAATTAGTTCCAATCTTCCAGTTGAAATCAACTATACATATGTGCTGGATCGGATTGTTTCAGAATCATGCATGGACCTTCAGTATTTAATCAAATTAAAGAATGAAATAAAATAAACGTTTGGTTAGTCAAAATTTAAATGCCGAAATTTAATTAATCCCCTGTGTCCCACTCTCTTCATTTCTAAATAATGAGTCCCATCTAATTAAAGGACGACCAAAAAAATCGAGAAGCAGTATTATTATTATGATTCTTGAAATAGGGTTTCAAAACTAGAGATCAGACAATATAATATAAGCAATAATTGAGCAAGCTGGGGAAGGACATTGGTCAGTGCTGGCGATCACACAAATGCATGAGAGCAAGTGGGAAGGAACATCACCCTCTCCAATCCCCTGTTCCTGTAAAAAGCAAATTTCGATAGATTTTGTTTTTCTTTTTTAATGATATAATAAATCGATGATGATAATGATGATAAATCAGCTAAATTATTTAACCCATAAAAACTGAAAAAAAAATCAATATGAATAAGCTGAAGTTGATGAAGATATCATATTATAAGTGCAGCTTGTGAGGAGAAAATTAAATAATATGATGATTTATTGGCCAGTAGAATTATAGGGGCGTGCAAATCGTTTAAGACAAAAAGAATAATAACAAAAGGCTGCAAAATGAGGCGTGAAGTACTGTAATCAATGCTACATTTGCATCAAAAGGATTTCGAATCGAATATATCCAACACAACTTGCTTCACATCAGCGTCAATGTCTTTCAAGTCCTTCAATCCTAATCAACGCGCACAACTAGCTCAAACTATAATGTAATTAACATTTGCAATTACGGTGTATGTGGGTGGAAAACATACATATCCTGCAAACATTACTTTATTGTGTCACTGCGAAGTTTATCTTCCTCGTTTGATTTTGGTTGGCTGTGGGACTGTATGTGTTTGAATACTGATTTAATTAAAGGGAAATTCGATCGGATGCGAGATTTCATTTCATTGATCTGCGCCTCACCCATTAATTAATTAGGATTTTATAAGTATATTTATTACTCTAAGTTCCAACATGTACAATGGAAATGCTTACGTACGTACCGTGTAATCCACGGTTTAGTTTATCCCCACAAAATGTGTGATTTAATGAACACATACAAAATGGATGGACCTGTAACCTGCTAACCTTAATATATAAGAGATTGTGTGTTTCAATCCCGCATAATTGGTATTAAATAGGCCATTAAATAGATATGACAAAATTCAAAATGAAGAGCAAATATTGTTGCACATCTTTGGCTGCATTTCGTGGTTGTATGAGCAAATGTAACATCGCATGCGCTTCAAATGCAGCATCTGATCACTAGGCAAATCCAAACTCTTGCTCGGCCATTCTGAGCAGCTCTTCAAATATTTCACTTCTTAGATACTCCAGCCGACGAATATCAATCCTTCCCTCAGCCCATTAATTTTTGTTATTTTCTCAACATTCTGATGATGAGCTCGTCAATGCCAATCATTCTGATCACTTTCACTGTATGTATTGATTTTTCGCTCCACCAAAGAACGGAGGATATTGATCAAAACCCTATTTCATAAATCATGATTAAAAAATTATTTATAAATTATTCTAAACGGGCCCTAAACAAAATGATGTGGACTGCGAGTATTGGATTGGATTACAGCCTTAAAACTGATCAGCTTTTGATAAAAACCACTTCATCAATCATGTGTTTACCACTTTGATTCCTGACGATGGAGTTTAGATTAGGAAAAGTTTACATGATTACATCAGTTGTGTCTCCCAGTAGTATTTACAAACTGGTCATGGTCATCTTAAAATGTGATAAAAATAAAACACCTCGTTAAATCCTAGAATGAAATAAATATATTAAATTTCAGTTGAAGAGCGGAGTAAGTGAGCTTACAGTACTTGGCTACTTGCAGCGCGCATGCAGATGCTCCCAGGGGTATTACCGTCATAGAGGCTGGGCCAGGCACGAGTGTGGAATATGGGCCAGGATTCTGATAAATACCCAAAATCCAGTGGGCCGACAATTTGTGGGTTTGGGTGAATCCTCCTGCATTGATTAGGTGTGTATGGGCCGACATTCTAATGAAGCCCAAATTAATTCAAGTGGACAAGGACTTGGTTGGCTTGACTAATCTTTTTATCTTTTGCTGGTCACAAATTTTCCTCAATTAGTCTACATAATTATTGGACTCGCCTGTCTCATATTAAGACCTTAATTTACGATTTGTCTCATATTATTGGAGCATCAATTAATGATGCACACAAAATGTGAATAACACAAGTCCACATGTCGATCAAGTAATAAAGAGTAAATATAGAGTATAATTCTGATAGAAAATCAGACAAAGTAGAATTTAAACATTAAAATTCCTATCTTTAATTAAGTTAAGCAAGCTGAGTCATGGTTGATTAATCAGAAAGAAAGAAAAAATTAGAGATAAAAATTTAATACTCCTCCGGTCCTTATTATAAGACCCCATTTGACTTTTTATTTGGTCCTAATTATAAGACCCTAATCCATTTTGTTTCTTATATTTATGCATTTTTTTTCAAGATAATCCTTCTAATAATGATAGTTTTAGCCAATATACTTAATTAGCAAAGATATTTTAGGAATGACAACACTTATTTATTATAAATAACTAATTTAACTTACTTCCTTAATCTCCTCAAATAAGTCAATTGAGTCTTATAATTAGGACCGGAGGAGTATTAAAGACAACTTAGAGTCAATAATCCCTTATTAGCTTCATAGGCTTTTGCTTTCATTTAACTGATTAGTTAATTTAGTTGATCTAAAATATTTATAGCTAAAAGTATCTTTCCATTCACTTATAACTATTTCCTAAATAATAAGGTCACGTCTAACTCAAATACTTAAGAAAATAAATTAATTTCACTCTTAATCAATTATATGGAGTTCCTAGATATATTTCTATCCTACTTGCAAATTAGATAAAAATCTAATCCCACATTCCTCAGTCTTATAACATAATTAAAGTCTTCTTTGTCAATGCTAAGATCAATGTTCAAACTCATATTTAACAGTGGCTAAACATTAAATAGATAAATCAAAACAGGATTAAGTAACTAAAATTAATATTAAGCATAATTAATTAAATGAAAACAAGGTCTAATTTATAAGTAAGTTCGTAGTTACTGTAGATTAACATAAATGAATGAAAAAAATGTTCAGACTGAGAGAAAAGAGAGCAAGATAGAATTCTTCGCTGATATTTTTAGTGTTCCAAGAGAAGGAACTCTACTGCAGTCGGAGAAGCCGCCAAGATTCTACGCACTCTCTCTCCACTCCCCCTTGTTCTTGTGAGGCTCAAACCTATGTATCTTTAGTTGCCGCCAACTCTCCTGTTCTTCTTCTTCTTCTTAAAATATATTATATAATATTATTTTGATTTTTGATATAAAAATTTGTTTGATTTTTATTTTAGTTTTAAATATAAAACTTAAATTCACTCTGTCTTTTATATTTATCTATTTTTTTTAAAGACAATCTTTATAATAATGACAGTATCAATTAATACACTTGGTTGGTAAAGATATTTTAGAAAATACAACATTTAATTCTTACAAATAACTAATTCAACAAATTTTTTAATCTATTTAAATTAATCAATTAGTTCTTATATTAACGATTATAATACCATATATTTTGATCCGGCGCTGCTCCACGTCTCTCCCTAAATCTGAATCACGTGATCTTTTCTTCAATTATTTGAATCATTTGCGGGACCCACAAATTGCTCAAGACTCTCCACGTCTCTTCTTTTATATATATGTGTGTGTGTGTGTTAATTATACCTAGTTAATTAATTTTGATATATTGTCTTCCCTACAGATAAGAAAATGACACACACACATGTTAGCCAATTATATTTCCAAAATCTGACCTATTTAATTATAAAATATTTGCTTATTTATTAACTTTATGTCAAAAACAAAAATGTTGTCAAGTAACTCCACATCAGCTTATCTGTTTTGTGGGGAACTTGTTTCAGTGATCATTATAATAATAAGTACCATAATACTCACAAATCTCATTCATTCAAATTTAACATGGATGATTGAGATTTAATATTGAATATTTTTGTTTTTTAAGAATGTTTTCTTTTTAATAGATACATAATCTAAAATAAATACAATCTCTTAACTATAAGTTTTTTTAAAAAATTACTAATTTAAAATTTAAAATCTAGATCATTAAAACTGATTTTGAATAGTTTAGATTTTATCATAACAATGAACATTATGATACTCATCACTGTGATAGGTATTTAAACTAATTCCCTTTTATATGCATGCGATGATGTGTGCGGGGGAAAGGTTTTTTAGGCCATCTATTTAAATAGATATCCTGGTTATATTATTTTTATCATCAAATTATATCTAAAGTCTATTTTGAAGTGAAAATTAACTATTTTGAGCTGATTATTATTGCCAACCAACCTTCAAATTTATCGGCCAGGAGCGGGTGCGTGTTAGAATATTCAACGATCAACAGACCCAACTCTGACTATGCTTTCTCTTCTTACTCCTCTAGTCAAGTTTAAACCTTAGACACCGTACCGCTGCGCGTTGCTGACCCACTTTAGAGCCCTAGAATATTATGGCTACGGTATACTAATACCACTAGGGCCTGGGCTGCTATGAAATGCAAAGTTCATTTTTTTTTTTTAAAAAAAAACAATTGTGATGATCTACGAAGCTTCTTTCAATAGTTATTAGTCAGACTGAAGAACTTCCAATTTATCATCTGTATTTTTTTTTTCACTTGTTATTGTCCTTTTATCTATTAGTCGTTTCACATACTTTTTCATTTCTCTCAAACCTCCTTATTGTCAATAACCTTTCAACCTAAGACCCATTCATATTCCCTCTCATTTTAAATATATATAAAATATTTTGATAATCTTGTTCTGATCGTTAATACTTTATCCACAGCAGTTTGTTATTTTAATTTTTTAATACCTCTTACTAATGTTTCACTGTTTTCTGGTCAATGGAAATGAGTAAATATAGTGAGTTAATTCCAAGAATAATATTTAAAGAAAAGCATCACGAATTTTTTAAGACTAATTTAATTTTGGGAAAATTGCAAATAAAGACCTTTGAAAATGTAAAATAGCAATTTGGGTACTTTAATTTACAAAATTGCTGTGAGAGACCGGGTCTCAAATATGAATTATGAAATGTAAGGAAAAAGACTAAATTGCCCTTCTTCTCTTTCTTCCATCATCTTATCTTCTTCTCTTTCCCACTGCAGTCCAATCCAAGAGTTCTCTCTTCCCTCTCCTTCTCTTTCTTCCATCACCTCATTTCTTTCTCTCTTCCAGTGACCTCAAGGCTCTACGTGGGGTGTGTGAGTTAGTGGGGATTTAGTTTAGGGAGCATGGTGGAGCGATTTTATCGATTAAGGACAGAGATTGTTTAACTGGGAAGATTAATGGAAGGGTAATGCTCAATGGGGGCTAGAGTTATGGGGATTTATGGATGAGAAATTCTGGTAAAAATTAGATCGATGACAAAGTATAGATCCCCATTGCTCTGTCACTGCATCCAACTACTTGTCCACTCTAAGTTCCACTGTGACAAGCAAAGCGAAGATGAATTCAAGGGGTGGGTGGAACTATCAATTTCACGCGCGTGTTGAAGAGCTTGGACACAAGCCTTCTCCCATTGCACGAAATATTGACATGGAACAAAGAGAAGGGAAAGCACATGTGCGGTTTGGTTGGGAGAATTGGACCGACCCCTTCACAGTGTTGCTCAATCACAGAAGCTCGAATGGGGTTTTGATTGCAAGATTGGGCCCGCCCTTCGATGGATGCTGCTAGCTTGGGAAGAATGATATGAGGTTGGGGCATCCTAGATCTGCGACCATGAAAACGATGATGAGCAATATTTTTTTAGCAACCATGGGGAAAGAATCAAAGCGGAGGAGCTTGGGCACCTAAGATGGTGTTTTTCTTTCCCTTGGTTTTGTTTCCTTGATTTTAGTTTTGCTTCTTTCTCCCCCTCACATTACAGGATCTCTTCTTTTTTTTTTATTTACTCATTTCAATAGAGAAATTAAAATTATATGAAAACCTTATCGAAACTTGTTATTAGTCTTACTTAACTTGTCATTTACCTAATTGAACTTGTCATGAATCCTATCTCAGAAGTGTTTACTATCAAGGAAATCTACAAATTCTGATTTTAACAGAGAAATTTAAAATTGTGTCAAAACCTTATAAGAACTTGTCATTAGTCTTACTTAACTTGTCATTGGCCTAACTGAACTTGTCATTTTATAAATAAATGTGGAAATTCAGCTATTTTAACAGAAAATCTCAAATCTGTATAAGTAGCTTATCAGAAGTTGTCATTGGTCTTACTTAACTTGTCATTTCATAAATAAATGTGAAAACTCAATCATTCTAATAGAGAATCTCAAATTTGTATGAAAACCTTATCAGAAGTTGTCATTTGACTAACTGAACTTGTCATTTCGTAAAGAAATATGAAAATTCTGTCATCTTAATAGTTTAAGCTCAAATTTGTATGACTAGATTATCAGAAGTTGTCATTCGACTTATTAAAGTTGTCATTAGCTTCACTGAAGTTGTCATTCATCCAAGAATGTGAAAATTGTCATTTTAATGCACAAACTTAAATTCCTCTTATCAGAACTTGTCATTTGCGTTACTAAACTTGTTATTCATCTTAATAAACTTGTCATTGGCATCTCATTGGCATTACATCAACACTTGTTATTAAAAGTTTGCAATAGGAAATGACAAGTTTGTAATAAAAAAATCACAACTCTGCAATAAGAAATAACAAGTTTATAATAGGAATTATAAGTCTGCAATATGGATTTAGAAATCCACAATAAGAAATAACAAGTCTGCAATAGGAAATAACAAGTCTATAATAAAAAATAATAAGCCTGAAATGAAAAATCACAACTCTGATATAGGAAATTACAAGTCACAACAGAAAATAACAAGTCCAAAATAGAGAATTATAAGTCTAAAATAGAAAATTACAGGTCTAAAATAGAAAATTATAAGTCTCTAATAGAAAATAACAAGTCCAGATAACCATCTAACATCGATGACATCAAAGCTAATTTTGAACATTTCTTGACAATATCAGGTCCAAGCAATCATCTAATAACTGCATTCATGGATAAAGGAACATATAATTATCATTTGATAACATATAATCGTCTGAACGAGGGCATGTTATTGGTAGGCTAGGCTTCATTCACCTGTTTCTCAAAATGCATCCTCTTCAAACCCTGCAACAAGGATGTTAAGAGTTGTTAGCTTATACTTGAAAGGCTTGGATTTCAACTTTTGTGCTTCTCGTTGGGCTGATTGATTATTTGTTCATCCCTTTCTAACTTTAGAGATAAAAGACGTTGGGACCCAAGCGCGTGCCTCACTTGCTTGGTTGAAAGAGCTAAAAAAAAATAAAATCCTACCCACCCATAACTCAGCACAAACACAAATAAAATCTATTCGATGTATTGCCTCAAATACTTAGTTGAAATGCTTAGTTGAAAGAGAAGGACGAAGCGGGAGAGAGGAGAGAAGGATATGGGTTTGTGAGAACGAAGCAGAGGAGGATATGTAAAGCCGGTGGGTATTTTTGTCTTTTAATCAACATTTCATAATTGCAAATTGGGACCGGGTCCTCTATAGCAATTTTTTAAATTCAGGGTCCCTGGTTGCTATTTTATATATTGGGAGGTCTTTATTTGCAATTTTCCCTTTAATTTTCCCCAATTAACATTCATAAATCAGCTGGTAAAAAGATCCTATACTTAGACAGGAGAGAGCTTTTTTTTTTTTTTTTTTGACCAGCAGAATTGTTATTTCCAGTTAATCCAAATGGACTCGTTTAACTGAGACAGTTGTGCATAACTTGTACATATGACCCCAGTGTCGTACAAATACCGAAAAGCATAATTCTTTTAAACGTGCACATTATCTTATGCCACTGACCTGACATCAAAAAAGACAAGAGAGAGGGAATGAGATCAAGAAAGGAGAGAGCTTTGAAATAATCTAAGACCATATATATATATATATGAGGTGACTAATCAGCGTGAAACAAGTGAATGACATCGATCGAGGTGCCATTAATTTCAAGGTAACAAAGCATCCAAAGCTCCACTACTACCACGAAGAGACATCGCAACAACTTTACTGAACCGCCCAAAGGATCATTTATTTGATAACCCTTAACTATATGCTTCCAGCACATGATTTGTCTGCATGGAATCTTCACAAATTGAAACATATGGCAAGATGTTGCATAGTGAACAACGTCACTAAGCTCTCTAAATTAGCCTGCGGATCTCATGGTGGCCTTCGTCGTTTATAATCGTACAAGCTTGATCTGTAGTCAACTAAGCTCGATGGAGCCGACCTCCATGATTACTAGCGTGCTGGACTATAATATAGAGAAGTGTAATTAAGAAGATGATGATCATGATGAGGAGCTGCACGGGTAAATTCTTCAGCAATATGGGAAGGAAGTGGAACAACAGGGTGATAGGGTTTGGGAGGAGAAGGGAAAGTATATGTGGAGAGAAAGGTGGCAAGTTTGTGATATACACGAGCGATCAAACTCGGTTTGTGATGCCCATAGAGTACCTTTGCCACGGCGTCTTCCGAGAGCTGTTGGAGCAGTCTCAAGCCAAATATGGCGACTCTGTTAAGGGCCCCATAACGCTGCCTTGTGATGCAGTGTTCATGCAGCACGTCATCCTTCTCATCCAAATAGACCTCCTCATTATCGAGCCTTTACACGCAACTTCACTCGCTACTACCATACCCACGCCCTGCTCTCTTCCTTCTCATAACCATCTTTAATATTTCTTCCCAGATTTCCATGCGCTCTGCTTGGAATCAGGTCTCTGCATATTCAATCTATGCATTTGTAAGACCTTGACTTGTTATATAAAAACATGTAATTTAAATCTCATATTATAGCATGATTTCAATTACTGGGAGAAAAAAATATAAATTTGAAATACAAAATCAATTAGAGTATTATTCAACACTTTTTAAGAACAGGAAGTAATATTAAGTTTGATACGTTATTTTTCTTTATACGTGTTACCAGTTACTTTATGTAACTTATAATCCATTCCACCTTTCCATCTGGCAGCGATCAGCTAAGCACAAGTACGTATAATTTTGGAGTCAAAATATTATGCAACTTGCGTCTTGGTCTGTCTTCCCTACAGTCCTTACCGTGTTCTACTTTTGAAGAATTTCGTTTTCGTAACGATCCAACGTCTAGACAATGTGGACGTTGCGCGGAAATAAATCTGAACGCCACCCGAAAATTCCTGCAATACACAGGAGTAATCTGATAAACGACAGAAGATTTCTACATCGCTAGCCAGCCCAAGTCAAAGTCAAGCATGCCAATATCTAACTAACCTCTAATTATGCAAGAAAAATGCAAGTATTAAAGCAGTCGTTGCCCGTCAGTCACCTTTATTTAAACTTATTAGCAGTAAAAGACGTGGAAAAGAAAAATTAAAGCAGCTTTAACTTGAGAAAGCAAAAGTTAAAGATGCTCCCCCCCCCCCCCAAAAAAAAATCATTCGTCTAGTTAACATAGAAGTTAAAGCTCCTCTTTTCTAGCTAGCAACTCCTCAACTTTGCAATCGCAACAACCATGGTGCTGAGCTTGAGAAAGATTGAAGAACCAACCGTCTGCTTCTCTTTGATCATCTTCTTGTTTCACTCTCAACATCTCTTCACTATTCCAGTCACTTCCTTCGCTCCTGCAGAGAGGTTTTCCATTAACTGTGGCTCCCCATCAGGCATTCATACACTACTTCAGGTGGCAGAAAATGGCAACCAGATGACAATTCCAAACTAGTTTCCCTCGGTCAAAACAGCCGGACCTCAATCGCTCAGGTTTCTCCTCCCGGAGCAAGTTCCTTATGCCACGGCTCGCCTGTCTCGTTCTGAATTCACCTACTCCTTTGAGGTCCCCGAAGGCCAAAAGTTTGTTCGCCTCTTCTTTTACCCAGCTGCATATGACAATTTTGATCGTTCCAATGCTCTCTTCTCCGTTAAAGCAGGCGACCACACCCTTCTCAAGGACTTCAACGCTTCACTCACTGCTGATAACGACGATGATCCTGAGCAAAAAGTGTTCAGAGAGTACTGTGTTAACGTGGAACCTGGTCACAGGCTGAACATCACGTTCACTCCAAGTAGCACCAACCATCCAGACGCCTACGCGTTTATTAATGGGATTGAGGTTGTGGCCATACCGACCAATCTTTATTACAAAAAAGCTGGTGACCCAGCGTTGCAGCTGGTTAATGACGAGAATAATCGGATTCGAGTTGATAACAACACTGCTCTGGAGATGGTGTACAGAATCAATGTTGGAAAGGATGAGATTCCAGCTGAGCAAGACACTACTGGTTTGCTTCGAGACTGGCATGGCGTAACTGGCTATGGCTATGCGGTGATGCAAACCTTGCAAGATCTAGAAGATAATGATTTTGATGCAAAGCTGATATACCCAAATGATCTTCTGAAAGACGCAGCACCTGAGGATGTCTATTTAACTGCAGAGACCTCTAAAGATACAATGACTTGGGAGTTTAAAGTGGACTCCATGTTTGCTTATATGATCAGACTGCACTTCTGTGAGTTGGACCAGAGAGTCCAGAAGGGAGAAAGAGTTTTTCAGATACTCATAGCTGACACTGTGGCTGAGCCTCAGATCGATGTGCTTGGTTTGCAGGAAGACAGCCGAGTTCCTCTTTTTAGGGACTATGCTCTTTTGTTGAAGCAAGGAAGCTTGAAGAGTAGTCAGAACTTTTCAATCACGTTGCAGGCACTCCCAAAAAGCAAGTACGGTGTCCTATTGAATGGAATTGAAGTTTTCAAGGTCAGTGATCGTAGTGACAACCTTGGAGGACCCAACCCAGACCCAACATCTTCACCAACCAAACCATCAAAACTCTCGAAGAAAAAACTCCCATGGTGATTGCCTTTGCGTGTGCAGCTTTAGGTGTCATTATTGCACTATCTGTCATCGGTTTCTTAGTATGCCGGCGAAGGACCAGAGATTCAGGGGACGCGACAGCTGAGAAGTCATTAGATTTGTGCCGTAACTTTTCCATCACAGAGATCAGCGCTGCTACCGACAACTTCGATGGTAATTCAATAATTGGTCAGGGAGGATTTGGTATGGTCTATAAAGGACACATTAACAACGGGAAGACATCAACACCCGTAGCCATCAAACGGCTCAAAGCAGAATCAGAACAAGGGGCCGATGAGTTCGAGACAGAGATCAAGATGCTTTCCCAGTTTCGCCATCCTCACTTGGTTGATCTCATCGGCTACTGCAAAGATGACAAGGAGATGATCCTGGTCTATGAATTCATGGCCCGCGGCACCCTCAGAGATCATCTTAACGAACCTGCTAACCAGCCACTTTCATGGAAGCAAAGGCTTGAGATATGCATCGAAGCAGCAAATGCACTGCTCTATCTTCATACCAACACTGGTGAGAACAAGCGAAGCGTGATCCACCGCGATGTGAAGAGTGCAAACATTTTGTTAGACGAGAATTGGAAAGCAAAGGTTTCAGATTTCGGATTGTCCAGGATTGGGCCGAATGGCTTGTCCAGGTCACATGTTACCACACTTGTCAAAGGCAGCGTCGGGTATATAGACCCACAATACTGCGAGAGTCAGCAGCTGACCACAAAATCTGATGTTTACTCTTTTGGTGTGGTTTTACTTGAGGCTTTGTGCGGAAAGCCGCATATATTTCGAAACGAGGAGAAGCAGCAGGTAACCCTGGTGGAATGGTTTAAGAAATGCTATGAGAAAGGAGAGATCGGCGACGTGGTTGATCCATTTTTGAAGGGGGTCATAACGCCCCAGTGCTTGAACAAGTTCGTTCAAATAGCATTGGCTTGTCTGCGTGATAATGGGAAGCTGCGGCCACCCATGAGAGATGTTGTGAGGGGCTTAGGGTCTGCGTTGAAGATGCAGGGGAGCATGGAGGTTGAGATCCTGAGAGAGGGTGGAGAGGCAAACAAAGAGGACAAACCAACCGTGACCCAATTCAGAAAAGATGAAGAAAGTGGAGTACAGTTCTCGACTTCAAGTGGATCCACCACGACTGTGTCCACGTGGAGGAGTAAGGTCACCGTCGCCAGTAGTGAGGAGGAGTAAGCTTTGGTTCCTGCAGTGTTCTTTGAGCTTGCACATCCAACAGCACGATAAGACGGAACAAATAAGTAACTGTAAATGGAAATTCAATGCTTGTGTCTAATGCGAGAGGGTACACTATTAGGTCAATAGTTCATTTGACCGATGGATTCTGCATTGGGATTCATCCAACAAGTCAAATATACTGTCACTTGAACAGGGTATTAATATCCCTTGGAGTATGAATCATGCGCTTCTCTTTTGGCCCTTCACTTAAACTCTGCTAATAGTTTTAATGCTTATAAATATCACAGTTTCGAGATCAATCGTGCATTTGATTCTTAATGTAAGAAATAACATGACTAGAGAGATGAAGAAAAGGGCCTATCTTAAAGACACGGCCGGTGGCAGCTCGTAAAAGTACATCCACAAAATGCATCATGTGATTTCCCTTAGTGGTTTCGTATCGTACATCACTATCCACATTGCAATTGGACACACGTCTTCGTTTTGTTTATCTCTCTGTCAATTTCTTCAAATCAAATTATTGGCCATAACAGTCAATGCTCCCTCCTGTTGTGGGTCAGCCTCACGTCAATATCCGTTAGTTCGTAAATTCTCGATTGCACAGGATTTCAAGCATGGACTCATATAGTTAACGCATCCACGGCAAAGAGGAAGTGCCTCTTGACTCGTCTTTCCCCTTCATGATCGGATCTCATATGAAAGTTTCCATGAACATGCAAGAAAATTCGTGGCCAGGTCTATATCTGGTCAATAATTTCCTTTTCTTTGCATCTGCGGAGTATCCAGATTAAAGCAAATCCTTGTTATTGTAATTGTACTGTTTATTTAATTTTCAGGCATTCTTTTTTTAAAAAAAATATAAGTACATGTCAATTTTTAAAAATTTAGTTTGTATCATTGAGTGTGCGCAATTTTCTTCTTTATAGAACTTCCATCTTTTGTATGACATTTTTCACCTCAATTTCAGATTATAGGAATAAAATATTACTCATCATATTATTGTATATTTAATAATAATATCTTTAAAAAGTACCTAGAACTTTGCAAGGATGAATTATATTTATCATAATCATTTTTAATCTCACTGATACATGAATTAATAGTTCAAATTTTGCTTTATTCAAATAAAAAATAATATTTTATTTATTCAACTACATTCCTCTAATTTATTTTGTTTACATTAGAGTAACTTATAAATTAAGGACTCAAGGTAGCGTTAATTTTTTTTCTTTTATTTGTATATTAATATATCCGAGTTAACTGCCTTTGTGAACGGACTATGACGCTAGTCGCTAGTTGCTAATGGTTTCCCTTCCCGCTTCTTCCAGCTTTGCTTCCCCAAACTCAGCTCTGTCTATGCCCTCTGCAGATGAGCGTCTTCGCTTGGTTGAGTTCCTTATCCACGCTGCTCAAGTAACCATTCTTTCCCCTCACCCTCCTCTCTTCCTTTTCGGCGTGATTCGTTTCAAATTTTTATTCTCCTGTAGCAACTGGAAGTCGCTCCCATTGTCAAATACTCGGCATTGTCATTGTTCGTTGATCGGTTCTTTATTTCTTTGCGCAGGTGATCTTCCTCTTCCTGTTTCTCACAATTTCGATCACCGCTTTGGATTCTTTTAGTTTTACCCCTTCGTATAGTAATTCCATTCGCTCCTGGATTTTGTTGCATTATACTTGGCGGTTCTGAAGTTTCACGGAAGCTGGTAACACCAGAAGCTGGCTCTTGCGTCCTGTGACAGAGAGCAATTTGCAGTTATTTGGGCTGATTTCTGTGTGGATTTCAAGCAAAGTGCGTTTTTATGCCCTCTTTTTCGTGGATTTTTCCCCCTTTGTAATTGATTTACTGAAAAACTTTAAATTCGTTCTTATAACACTTAATCAAGCTATGCAGACACATGATTCTCATCCGCTTTCTGTGAGATGTTTGAAGTCCTTGGCTAACAATATCATCAAGGACCAACACTTTGCAACTCGAGATTTCCTCGAAGCAGTAAGTTCTTTTTTTAAACTATGAAACTCTCGACTATGAATGATCTACATTTTTGGTGGTTGATAATTGATATTGCTATCTGCAGGAGGTGCTCTTCATGCAGGTATAAATTGAGAAGCCTGCCAGGTATTTTGTTCTCAATTGTTTGGCTAATATGATTTGGTACTTCCAAAGGTGTTGAACTTTGAGATTGGCACAACAAATATTGCATTTTTGTTCCTTGAAGAGCTGTGGGTGCAGATCAAGTGAGTCATATTTACAAGATAGATATTATATACATACATCAGATGCTTTGTTCTATTTGCTAATTCCTTTTTTTTTTTTTTTGGTGGCTTGCTAATTCTCATCCTTTGGAGTGAAGGAGAGTGGCTAAAGTCGGTGATCTCATCAACTTCGAAGCATGTATGGAAATTATGGATCTGCTCTATGAAAAGAAAGAGACATCATTTCTTTACAAGTCTCCTTGCTCTCTCGCGGCATCAATCTTGGTATTTTCTTCGCTGGTTGTTTCCTTATTCCGGTTATTTAACGACATTTACTTTCGTCAAGTTATTCTCTCTTTTCTTTTGTTTTCTTTTGGGGCAGGTTGCATCTTGTTTGATCACAGTCCCAAAACAGAAGTGGGAGTTTCCACTTCTTCCATGGGGTAAGAAAGGTTTATCTAGATGTTGTTGGCTGATTTTGATATAATATATATTATTTTAAATGATTATGATTTAATATTTACGAATGCTCGCCAGTCGCCAGTCTCATTCTTCATTAACGAATGTCCTCATAAGTTACCCTGCTGATAGATGTTTAGAGCAGGGGCTTCCGTTTCGTTGGTCTGGGAATCCTTTGACGTTAGCAACTCCTATACCCTTTAGGGAAGATTCGACTGATTTCATTATTACCGTTGTCCGCCATATAAGTGGTGTATAAACTAGCTTAAAGAGGAGCACGAAAGCATCTTTATCTGTAAAAACCCTCTGCTTGACGCATGTTGGATTTCTGTGGCTCTGATGCCTGATGCCCCTTGAGCAATTCCTGGGTTTTCAATGTCAGGATTTCCCTGATTTCATGTGTGGCTTTGAGATATTTTGACATTTTTGTGGCATTTGGATTACCTAGATTGAATATAGACAGACTCGAACTACCTAGAAACTAACGAAAGCATTTTGTTGGCAGTGAAGTTTGTAACTTCGTATAGAGAAGAGGAGATGATAAAAATTGTGAGGGACGTTCTCAAGCATGTACTCGATCCTTCCTCTGACCTACAAGGTTAGTGAGCCTCGAAAGGATGAATCATTTTGGATGTCTTCAGCTTTAGCTCAGTCAAACCATGACATCTCAATGATTAGGAGTGTTGGAATCTGCCAAGTTAGATTAACGGATCAATGTCCTGGAAGGGACAGATACTCCAAACCAAAACACGTATTAGAGAATACATTGGCCACCTCCCACCATTACTACGAAGTACTTTTGCATTATTATGTCCTTTTTTTTTTGTGGTTGTACCATACGACATGGATACGGATTTGGAGGAGAATACGTAGTAAGTACCGGTTCAATTTTGATTGTCCTTGGCCATTTTCCTTTTTATATTTTTGGTTGAAAGGCCATGGGTATCAGTCTTGAGGCCCAATTACTAATATCCTGGTGGTCAGACTAAACACATTCCTCGATCGGGGCTATTTCAAGTGCTACTAAAGCTTAAACTACAACTGCTATTGGTAAACAGTGTTGGTGTTCATTATTTATTTACTTTATCTTGACTCAGATCCTTCTATGCATCGATGATCAGATTTTAAATTCATTCACCGGATAACGTTTGAAACCAAACCTACTTAATACCGAGACAACCTTCTATAACCTAAAACAGTTCATGGAGTTTCTAATGTCGATTTAATTTGATTTTCCATAGTCTCACCACAATACAAAAACCCCTCTTTCCTCCTTCCGGCCCCATCCTTCCTTCTTCTTGTCGCATATGACACTTTCGTTTGAGCTGTTATTGACCACGAACCCAACATTACATTACAATTCAGACTCCTGTTCAAATCCTTAAAAATTTGATTTTCCATATATATATATATATATATATATTTAACGCTTGTAGACCCCCCTAAGGTTTGAGACTTGAGAGCGACCTCGGGACTCCGAACACAGACGTATATACATCTTGACTTGCGGGACGAATTTTTCTTTTTTAATTATAAGCAACTAATACTCATAATTTTTTACATGATGATGACCCATTTCACAGATTTTATGGATGTACCAAATCGTGCTGATTGTTACCCGTATCTGCTTTTTAATCTTGCTTTTGGGTCTCAAAAAGTGGTTCTTTGAATCGATATCTCGTTAACATTTCTCTCTCAATTCAAGTATTTACATTGTAGATGTAAACCACTAGAATAATTAGCCCACCCGAGATAGAAGAAATGAAGTCCCTACTCTGCAATATGGTATGAGTAATCCACGTGTGACAGACACAAGTTCTAAGTTCTAATTGACAATTGGTTTCTTTGTTATTCTCTTCTGTTCACATATGAACGGCACTCCATAATGATGATCCAAAGAAAGGAAAGTATGTAATAATGAAGCATTTATGAGGTGGAAAGAGAGGGCCAATCAGGTGCGATGATCATTTATTGAATTCCACAAGGAAACTGCTCACTAATTCTAAAAGATAAAGAAGAGGCATAACATCATAGCGGATATGTACTCTTTGCTGTGCGGACATAGAGGATCTTAATCACGTCTTTAAGACTTGTCCTTTAGTTTTCTCAGTGTGGAAGAAAGTTCTCCCAAATAATATGTACATAGATTTTTTTGGGAAAGATATTGTTTACTGGTTAACTTATCAACTACAGCATCCAAACCTAGAGGATTCTTGAAAAATTAGATTTTGCATAACTTGTTGGAAATTATGGGAAGCAAGGAATCACCGTCTCTTTTCTAATGAGAATTATACTGTTAAAAATATTTTCATAAATATTTGTGCTATAGTTAGGCATTCCTTAAAAAGTTTTTCCACTATCAATTTAATCATGAAAATCCTGTTGCTTGTATATCGCCTGACTTTGTATAGTTTATTCTGCAATGAGAACTATCCATTTCATTCAACAACAAAAAAAGAAGGGTGTCCCCGCACCTCGGATCATAATTTATTATATTCGTTCATTCAAACACATAAAACTAAATCTCACATCTTAACCCACGCATTATCAGCAACTAAAATGAGATCTCATAAACAATAGTTGATCGATCGAAAATTACATGATTTAATAATTTTGATGCATGGAAACAAATGAAATGTGATCGAAAGTTTGAGTTGGTTTGTTTCAATTTGAAATATATCAATACGTCTCCTTTAAGATATAGGCACTTTTCCTCGTCCTATATATATTTGTGTGTGTGTGTGTGTGTGTATTGTGACACAGACGTCTATGGTTTGACGAACACACACGCAGCTTTGAACATTTAAATCTTAAGAAACACCCTGTACGTAATTGATGTTTATAAAAAAAAATCGTAATTGATTTATTAATTCCAATTTGCATAAAGCTGCTTAGCATGTCTAGCTCTGACGCACAAAATTAATCAAAATAAATAGTTCATAACACATCTCAATAAGAAAGGGGCCGGTTTCGACCAAGCTAGCTCTGATCAATTAATGAACACTAAATTAAAGAAGTAAAATATATGTTTGTGGCAAAATTGAGATGAAATTCAACAAAGCAATTGAGACAAATAATAAAATAATTATAAAATTCATTAGCTTTCTTTTCTTACTCCTTGGTTTTCTACTTTTTGAAGTATGTGAGAATTTTGCAGCAAAAGAATATGGACTCTCATCATTTATGAAAACAAACTTACGTGAGGCATAAGTGGCCTAGAGTTTTACATAATTGGAGCCCCGTGAAATACAATAAAATAGAGATATATGAAAGGAAAGTTTGCTGTGGGCGAAGAAAGCGATATTCACAAATAATGATGCTCTTGCCTTAATAAACCTTTTTTATTAGTTTACGTGCGGTGATGATTGCTATTTGGTGGGTAATTAAATCTAATGGTACATGTCAACTGCCGAAGCAAGTCCACAATATGATTTGATGCTTTATTGTTCGATATTGTCGGCTAATGATTCCAATATAAGAAGCCCACACACAGCCTTTTTCTTTACTTTTTTTTTTTTAGTTAGTTTTTCACTTTGCATTAATAATTGATATTAATCGCATAGTACCCCACAATCACATGAGTGCAAAATCAATATCCCTTTAATTTCTTTTCAATGAAAAAGTATGTTTTCTTATCTTTTGCCGGTCATAATTTCCTTCACAGTTGATATAATTTTTTGTCTTCCAAGTCTCTGTTCATTTTAATTTTGGTTCCTCATATTCATAAATTTTGGTTTCTTAAATTTCTTTTTATTTAAAATATTGATCCTGATAATTTAATAAAAATTTGGACCATTTTGCTTCTAGAAGGATTAAAACTTATTGTTTGAAATTTAAAGAACCAAAACCAAATATAAATAAAATTAAGAAACTAAAAATTATATTAACCCTTTCTTTAATGTACGTACACTAAACTCATATAAGCTTGTGAACCCTTGCTACGTAAGGCGCCGTTATTTACCTTTATACCACCTATACGGCTGTGAGGAGCCAAGATTTAGGAATGAAGGGGCCGAGATTAAAAAAATTCTCTCCAATTCTTAATATGAGTTTTATTTAATTAATCCGAACAGATTAAGAAAACTATTTAAATTATTTATTTATAAAAAGAATATTTGCTGGTTTTCTTAAAATGCTTTATTAGATTATTTGCATTGAAACTATTTCATAATACAAACTCTCTTAACATGTGCAATTAAAAAAATATTTTAAAAAAAATAAAAATGGGACAAATTAATAAATTAAAGTCTTATATTAGGTTAACTAACTTTTACATTAGGAAGGGAGAGGAGGTAGTACGTATAAATTTCACTAGCAGGCCCTTTCTCCCCCCCTTTTCTGCTTGTGCCTCTCTTTCTCTCTCTAGATCTATCTCTCTCACCCTCAATCATTCACACATGTACACGAACAAAGGTATCTTCTTCTGTCTTCTAGTCATGCGCCACAACAGTGGAGCTGAGATGATTGCAAAACGGAAAACCCAAAATAAATGTTTTTGTGAATTACAATGACCCACGCAATACCAGAAATGCAGAATAAGTATATCAAACAGACGTTCTTTTTAGTGTTTCCTACTCTTTTCATGTATAATTCAATTAATATATTATCACCTTGTTTAAAAAAGAATTCCACATGCATGTAGTATTTTTGCTGCATCCCTCTCTCTCTCTCCTCGTGTTGTTAATTTATGTACAGTGGTAAATTTCACTGTGCTCTGTGCTTGTCCTTGTTCCCCTCTTCTCATAACCCGGAAACTGCTTTGATAGTGTCAGTGGTATCTGTTTCTGTCAAACACTGACTTGCTTTTGTTTTATATGTATATATATATATATATATATGCTTCTTTTGCAGTGGCCATGAGTGGATAGCGTTACTTTGAAGACCCCGATACATCTGTCGCATGTGACCACACATAAACAAACTCAATAATGGCATATAAAAATGGGAACAATGCTCGGCTGTGATTCATACTAAATCAATGGCTAAAATATCTTAATTATTTTTATGAATGCTTTTGAAAGTACGTATAATTTTGAGGTTAAAATATTATATAACTTGCGTCTTGGTCTCTCTTCCCTTTAGCCCTTATCGTGTTCGACTTTTGATTAATTTTTGCCATTTTCTCAACAATATGATGATGAGCTCGTCAGTGCCAATAATTCTGATCGCTCTCACTGTATATATTGATTTTTCGCTCCAGCAAAGAACAGAGCATATTGATCAAAACCCTAAAGCTGTACTGTGTGTATTGTTTGTGGTAGTGATCTGTTATTTGTGTGCGCGACTCAGAATATTTCATATAGCACTTTGTGATTCTTGTGCCTCGTATCAAGAGGATCATGGATGCACCTGGACGAAGTCGGCTTATAAATTAATTACTGTGGGGATGCACTAATCTGCTGGCTCCAACTCATAATTATAATTAACCTTTCATTTGTTGGCTTATGCATGCTCGAATTGATCTATGGTTTAACTTAATCAGAATCACTTATAAGCACATTTTACGTAAGTTGAGATAAAATCTCGTTCACATACTTATCTCAAACCCTAGAATGATATGGACTGCGAGTATTAGATTAGATTACAGCCTGAAAACTGACGAATCTTTTTACCTTTGCCGGTCACAACTTTTCCTCAATGAGTCTGCCTAATTATTGGACTTGCCTGTCTCATATTAAGGCCTTAATTTACAATTTGTCTCATTATGGGGACATCAATTAACTTTTCATCGAAAACAAAAACGTGGTCAATTAACTCCACACTAGCTTATCCCTCTCGTATGCATGTGATGATGTGTGCGGGCGAAAGGTTTTTTTTTTAGGCCATCTATTTAAATAGATATTGTGGTTTATTATTTTTATCATCAAATTATATCTAAAGTCTATTTTGAATTAAATCCAAAATAATTTCTGAGGATATCATGGAATTATATTAACTATTTTGATCCGATTGTTATTACCCAACAACCTTCAAATTTATCGGCCCGGGGGGGGTGCGTGTTAGGGTATTCAACGATCAATTTACGCAACTCTGACTGTGCTTTCTCTTCTTACTCCTCCAGTCAAGTTGAAACCTTAAACGCCACCGCGTGTTGCTGACCCAATTTAGGGTCCTAGAATGTTATGGCCTGGGCGGCTATAAAGTGTAAGGTGTTTTTTTTTTTGAGAAAAAAGATTGCGATGATCTACGAAGCTTCTTGCAATAGTTATTAGTCGAATTGAAAAACTTCCAATTTATCATCCGTACTTTTTTTCACTCGTTATCGTCCTTTTACTTATTAGTCGTTTCCCATACTTTTTCATTTCTCCCAAATCCCCGTATTGTCAATAACCTTTCAACCTAAGACCTGTTTATACTCCCTCTCATTTTAAAAGTATATATATGTATGTATATATATAATCTTTTGATAATTTTGTTTTGATCATTAAGTTAATACTTTATCCACAGTAGTTTGTTATACTACCTCTTATCCTATTTATAATACCCAGTTTGTAGACTATAAACAAGGTATTATAATTAGGACAAAAATAATATTAATTAATTTTTTAATACCTCTTACTAATGTTTCACTGTTTTCTGGCCAATGGAAATGAGTAAATATGGTGAGTTAATTGCAAGAATAATATTTAAAGAAAAGCATCACAAATTTTTTTAAGCATGGATTGCAAATAACGACTAATTTAATTTTTCCCCAGTTGATATTCATAAATCAGCTGGTAAAAAGATCCTATATTTAGATAGGAGAGAGCAATAATCCCATTAATTGTAATTAACATTACCGAAAAGCACAAGTCTTATAAACGTGCACATTATCTTATGCTACTGACCTGACATCAAAAAAGACGAGAGAGAGAGAGAATGAGATTAAGAAAGGACAGAGCTTTGAAATAATCTAAGACCATATATATATATATATATGAGGTGACTAATCAGCGTGAAACAAGTGAATCACATCGATCGAGGTGTCATTAATTTCAAAGTAACAAAGCGTCAAAAGTTCCAAGAGACATTGCAACAACTTTACTGAACCGCCCAAGGGATCATTTATTTGATACTCCTTAATTATATGCTTCCAGGTCCAGCGGATGATTTGTCTGCATGGAATCCTCACAAATTAAAACATATGGCAAGAAGTTGCATAGTAAAGCTGCATAGTAAACAACGTAACCAAGCTCTCTAAATTAGCCTGAAGCTCGATCTATAGTGAAGTAAGCTCGATGGACCCGACCTCCATGATTAATTACTAGCGTGCTGGACTCTAATTTAGAGAAGTGTAATTAAGAAGATGATGATGAGGAGCTGCTCGGGGAAGTTCTTCGGCAATATGCGAAGGAAGTGGAACAGCAGAGTGATAGGGTTTGGGAGGAGAAGGGAGAGTATATTTGGAGAGAAAGGTGGCAAGTTTGTGGTATACACGAGCGATCAAACTCGGTTTGTGATACCCATAGAGTACCTTTGCCACGCCGTCTTCCGAGAGCTGTTGGAGCAGTCTCAAGCCAAATATGGCGACTCTGTTAAGGGCCCCATAACGCTGCCTTGTGATGCAGTGTATATGCGGCACGTCATCCTTCTCATCCAAACAGACCTCCTCATTATTATGCCTTTACGCGCAACTTCACTCACTACTTCCGTACCCACGCCCAGCTCTCTTCCTTCTCATAACCATCTTTAATATTTCTTCCCAGATTTCCATGCGCTCTGTTTGGAATCAGGTTTCTGCATATTCAATCTGTGCACTTGTAAGACCTTGACTTGTTATATAAAACCATATAATTTAAATCTCATAATATAGCAGGATTTCAATTATTGAGAAGAAAAAAAATATAAATTTGAAATACAAAATCAATTAGAGTATTTTATTTAAAATGAAATCCAACACTTTCTAAGAAGAGGAAGTAATATTGAGTTTGACACATCGTTTTTCTTTATACATGTTATCAGTTACTTTCTATAACTTATAATCCATTCCACCTTTCCATCCGGCAGCGATCAGCGAAGCCCAAGTACATATAATTGTGGAGTTAAAATATTATATAACTTGCGTCTTGGTCTGTCTTCCCTTCAGCCCTCACCGTGTTCGACTTCTGATGAATTTTGTTTTCGTAACAGTCCAACGTCTAGACAACGTGGACGGTGCGCGGAAATAAATCTGAACGCCACCCGAAAATTCCTGCACTACACAGGAGTAATCTGATAAACGATAAAAGATTTCTACATCGCTAGCCAGCCCAAGTCAAAGTCAAGCATGCCAACATCTAACTAACCTCTAATAATACAAGAAAGATGCATGTATTAAAGCAGTTGTTGCCCGTCAGTCGCCTTTATTTAAACATTATTAGCAGTGAAAGACGAGGAAAGGAAAAATTAAAGCAGCTTTAACTTGAGAAGGCAAAAGTTAAAGATGCTCTTCCAACCCCCCCCCCCCAATCATTCATCCAATTGACATAGAAATTAAAGCTCCTCTTTTCTAGCTAGCAACTCCTCAACTCTGCAATCGCAACAACCATGGTGTTGAGCTTGAGAAAGATTGAAGAACCAAGCGTCTTCTTCTCTCTGGTCATCTTCTTGTTTCACTCTCAACATCTCTTCACCATTCCGGTCACTTCCTTCGCTCCTGCAGAGAGGTTTTCCATTAACTGTGGCTCCCCATCAGGCAATTCATACACTACTTCAGGTGGCAGAAAATGGCAACCAGATGACAATTCCAAACTAGTTTCCCTCGGTCAAAACAGCCGGACCTCAATCGCTCAGGTTTCTCCTCCACCGGAGCAAGTTCCTTATGCCACGGCTCGCCTGTCTCGTTCTGAATTCACCTACTCCTTTGAGGTCCCCGAAGGCCAAAAGTTTGTTCGCCTCTTCTTTTACCCAGCTGCATATGACAATTTTGATCGTTCCAATGCTCTCTTCTCCGTTAAAGCAGGCCACCACACCCTTCTTAAGGACTTCAACGCTTCACTCACTGCTGATAACGACGATGATCCTGGGCAAAAAGTGTTCAGAGAGTACTGTGTTAACGTGGAACCTGGTCACAGGCTGAACATCACGTTCACTCCAAGTAGCACCAACCATCCAGACGCCTACGCGTTTATTAATGGGATTGAGGTTGTGGCCATACCGACCAATCTTTATTACAAAAAAGCTGGTGACCCAGCGTTGCAGCTGGTTAATGACGAGAATAATCGGATTCGAGTTGATAACAACACTGCTCTGGAGATGGTGTACAGAATCAATGTCGGAAAGGATGAGATTCCAGCTGAGCAAGACACTACTGGTTTGCTTCGAGACTGGCATGGCGTAACTGGCTATGGCTATGCGGTGATGCAAACCTTGCAAGATCTAGAAGATAATGATTTTGATGCAGAGCCGAGGTACCCAAAAGATCTTCTCAAAGACGCAGCACCTAAGGATGTCTATTTAACTGCAAAGACCTCTAAAGATACAATGACTTGGGAGTTTAAAGTGGACTCCATGTTTGCTTATATGATCAGACTGCACTTCTGTGAGTTGGACCCGAGAGTCCAGAAGGGAGAAAGAGTTTTTCAGATACTCATAGCTGACACTCTGGCTGAGCCTCAGATCGATGTGCTTGGTTTGCGGGAAGACAGCCGAGTTCCTCTTTATAGGGACTATGCTGTTTCGTTGAAGCAAGGAAACTTGAAGAGTAGTCAGAACATTTCAATCAAGTTGCAGAGGCTCTCAAAAAGCAAGTACGATGTCCTATTGAATGGAATTGAAGTTTTCAAGATCAGTGATCCTAGTGACAAACCCAACCCAGGCCCAACATCTTCACCAACCAAACCATCAAAACTCTCGAAGAAAAAAACAGAAACTCCCATGGTGATTGCCTCAGCGTGTGCAGCTTTAGGTGTTATTATTGCACTATCTGTCATCTGTTTCTTTGTATGTCGGCGAAGGACCAGAAATTCAGGGGACGGGACAGCTGAGAAATCATTAGATTTGTGCCGTAACTTTTCCATCGCAGAGATCAGAGCTGCTACCGACAACTTCGATGGTAATTCAATAATTGGTCAGGGAGGATTTGGTGTAGTCTATAAAGGACACATTAACAACGGGAAGACATCAACACCCGTAGCCATCAAACGGCTTAAAGCAGAATCAGACCAAGGGGCCGATGAGTTCGAGACAGAGATCAAGATGCTGTCCCAGTTTCGCCATCCTTACTTGGTTGATCTTATTGGCTACTGCAACGATGACAAGGAGATGATCCTGGTTTATGAATTCATGGCCCGCGGCACCCTCAGAGATCATCTTAACGAACCGGCTAACCAGCCACTTTCATGGAAGCAAAGGCTGGAGATCTGCATCGGAGCAGCAAATGCACTGCTCTATCTTCACACCAACACTGGTGAGAACAAGCGAAGTGTGATCCACCGTGATGTGAAGAGTGCAAACATTTTGTTAGACGAGAATTGGAAAGCAAAGGTTTCAGATTTCGGATTGTCCAGGATTGGGCCGAATGGCTTGTCCAGGTCACATGTGACCACACTCGTCAAAGGCAGCGTCGGGTACATAGACCCAGAATACTACGAGAGTCAACAGCTGACCACAAAATCTGATGTTTACTCTTTTGGTGTGGTTTTACTTGAGGCTTTGTGCGGAAAGCCACATATATTTCGAAACGAGGAGAAGCACCAGGTACACCTGGTGGAGTGGGTTAAGAAATGCTATGAAAAAGGGGAGATCGGCGAGGTCGTTGATCCATTTTTGAAGGGGGTCATAACACCCCAGTGTTTGAACAGGTTCGTTCAAATAGCATTGGCTTGTCTGCGTGATAATGGGAAGCTTCGGCCGCCCATGAGAGATGTTGTGAGGGGCTTAGAGTCCACGTTGAGGATGCAGGGGAGCATGGAGGTTGAGATCCTGAGAGATGATGGAAAGGCAAACAAAGAGAACAGACCAACAGTGACCCAATTTAGAAAAGATGAAGAAAGTGGAGTACAGTTCTCGACTTCAAGTGGATCCACCACAACTGAATCCAAGTGCAGCAGTAAGGTCACCGTCACCAGTAGTGAGGAGGAGCAAGCCTTGGTTCCTACAGTGTTCTCTGAGCTTGCGCATCCAACAGCACGCTAACATGGAACAAATAAGTAACTGCAAATGGAAATTCAGTGCTTGTGTCTAATGCATGAGATTACACTATTAGGTAGATAGTTCAATTGACTCATGGATTCTGCATTGGGATCCATCCAACAAGTCAAATATACTATGAATAGAGTTCCTCTTTCGGACCCTTCGCTTGCCTCTGCTAATAGTTTTAATGCTTATAAGTATCACAGTTTCGAGATCAATCGTGCATTTGATTCGTAATATAAGAAATATGATGACTAAAGAGATGAGGAAAAGGCCTATCCTAAAGACATGGTGGCAGCTCGTAAAAGTACATCCACAAAATGCATCATGTGATTTCCCTTAGTGGTTTCATATCGTACATCACTATCCACATTGCAATTGGACACACTTCTCTTCGTTTTGTTTATCTCTCTTACAATTTCTTGAAATCAAATTATTGACCATAACAGACAATGCTCCCTCCTGTTGTGGGTCAGCCTCACGTCAATATGTGCTATCAGAGGTGGACAGGATCACAGTTTCAATATGCAAGACAGAGTAATCAAGTCATAGAATGAAGAAGCCATTTCTTTAGCACCGACATTTCTCCAAATCAACCGGCCTCCTTCAACATAGCCACGGCTGAATTTAAACTCCATATTGATATGTACTGGTTGCTAATAAAAAAGAAATGACGAGGATGGGGGACGCAGAAAGAACTTAGGTCATTACAAGATGTTGATGCTATAATTCTCATTAACATACAAGAAAGCAAGAAAAGATGAAGATCAGAGCCTCTTAAAAACTTCGGCCATCAAGCAAGGGTTAGCTTGCTGAAACTCTATTAACTGCTGCAGGGAAAAATAGCCGTTGCCATCTTTGTCGATCTCCGCCATTCGACTGTGGATTTCTTCGGGCGAAGTTGCCCCTAAGGCTTTGAGAGCTTCCTCAAACTCTGCCAGTGATATTTTCCCGTCATTATTCACATCGAAACGCTTGAACACTCGTTCACATTCTGCACAAATATTCGATGCGTCATCGGCCATTGTATAATTTTGTTATCTGCAGCCTGTTAGTTCATAAATTCTTGATTGCACAAGATTTCAAGCATGGACTCATATAGTTAACGCATCCACGACAAAGAGGAAGTGCCTCTTGACTCGGTCTTCTCCCGTCATGATCGGATCTCATATGAAGTTTCCATGAACAGGCAAGAAAATTCGTGGCCAGGTCTATATCTGGTCAATAATTGCCTTTTCTTGGCGTATGCGGAGTATCCAAATTAAAGCAAATCCTTGTTATTGTGATTTTACCGTTTATTAATTACGCGGCATTAAAATATATATATATACTCCTCCGATCCTTAATATAGGACCCAATTCTTGAGTTGGTTTTGGTTCTAAGTATAAAACCAATTTATCATATTTATCAATTTTCTCTAAATTACCCCTATGAATACTCCTTCAACTATAATCAAGTAGAAGAGGGAGAAGGGGTATTAAGAAAGATAATTATGGTATTTTAGGAAAAATGTGTCACATTTCTTATAATTAACTAACTTACCTAACTTCCTTAATCTAATCAAATTAGTTAAATAGATCTTATATTAAAGACCGGAAGAGTATATATATATATATATAAAAGTACATGTCAATTTTTAAAAATTTAGCTTGTATCATTGAGTGTGCGCAATTTTCTTCTTCATAGAATTTCCATCTTTTGTATGACATTTTTCACCTCAATTTCAGATTATAGGAATAAAACATTACTCATCATATGATTGTATATTTAATAATAATATTTTTAAAAAGTGCCTAGAACTTTGCAAGGGTGAATTCTATCTATCACAATCATTTCTAATCTCACTGATACATGAATTAATAGTTCAAATTTTGCTTTATTAAAATAAAAACATAATATTTTATTAAAAATTAATTTTTAAATTCTTATACTTTAGATCAATTTCAGTTAGATTCCTGCAATTTATTTTGTTTAAATTAGAGTGACTTATAAACTAAGGACTCAGGTAGTATTAATTTTTTTTCTTTTATTTGTATATTAATAAATCCGAGCTAAATCCAACTACAATTGACCGCCTATATGAACGCACAATGACGCCAGTTGCTGTGGTTTCCCTTCCCGCTTCTTCCTGCTTTGCTTCCCCAAACCCAGCTCTGTCTATGCCCTCTGCAGATGAGCGTCTTCGCTTGGTTGAGTTCCTTATCCACTCTGCTCAAGTAACCATTCTTTCCCCTCACCCTCCTCTCTTCCTTTTCGGTGTGATTCGTTTCAAATTTTTATTCTCCTGTAGCAACTGGAAGTCGCTCCCATTGTCAAATACTCGGCATTGTCATTGTTCGTTGATCGGTTCTTTATTTCTTTGCGCAGGTGATCTTCCTCTTCCTGTTTCTCACAATTTCGATCACCGCTTTGGATTCTTTTAGTTTTACCCCTTCGTATAGTAATTCCATTCGCTCCTTGATTTTGTTACATTATACTTGGCGGTTCTGAAGTTTCATGGAAGCTGGTAACACCAGAAGCTGGCTCTTGCGTCCTGTGACAGAGAGCAATTTGCAGTTATTTGGGCTGATTTCTGTGTGGATTTCAAGCAAAGTGCGTTTTTACGCCCTCTCTTAGTGGATTTTTTTTTCCCTTCGTAATTAATTTACTGTAAACTTTAAATTCGTTTTATAACACTAAGTCAAGCTATGCAGACACATGATTCTCATCCGCTTTCTGTGAGATGTTTGAAGTCCTTGGCTAACAATATCATCAAGGACCAACACTTTGCCACTCGAGATTTCCTCGAAGCAGTAAGTTCTTTCTTTAAACTATGAAACTCCCGACTATGAATGATCTACATTTTTGGTGGTTGATAACTGATATTGATATCTGCAGGAGGTGCTCTTCATGCAGGTATAAATTGAGAAACCTGCCAGGTATTTTGTTCTGAATTGTTTGGCTAATATGATTTGGCACTTCCAAAGGTGTTGAACTTTGAGATTGGCACAACAAATATTGCATTTTTGTTCCTTGAAGAGCTGTGGGTGCAGATCAAGTGAGTCACATTTACAAGATAGATATTATATACGTACATCAGATGTTTTGTTCTATTTGCTAATTCCTTTTCTTTCTTTTTTTTGGTGGCTTGCTAATTCTCATCTTTTGGAGTGAAGGAGAGTGGCCAAAGTTGGTGATCTCATCAACTTCGAAGCATGTATGGAAATTATGGATCTTCTCTATGAAAAGAAGAAGACATCATTTCTTTACAAGTCTCCTTGCTCTCTCGCGGCATCAATCTTGGTATCTTCTTCGTTGGTTATTTCCTTATTCCAGTTATTTAACGACATTTACTTTCGGCAAGTTATTCTCTCTTTTCTTTTCCTTTTTATTTTGTTTTCTTTTGGGGCAGGTTGCGTCTTATTTGATCACAGTCCCAAAGCAGAAGTGGGAGTTTCCACTTCTTCCATGGGGTAAGAAAGGTTTATCTAGATGTTGTTGGCTGATTTTGACAAAATATATATTATTTTAAATGATTATCATTTAATATTTACGAATGCTCCCCAGTCTCATTCTTCATGAACGAATGTCCTTATAAGTTACCCTACTGATAGATGTTTAGAGAAGGGGCTTCCTTTTCGTTTGGTCTGGGAATCCTTTGATGTTAGCAACTTCTATATCCTTTAGGGAAGATTCGACTGATTTCAATATTGGCTGTTGTCCCTCATATAAGTGGTGTATAAACTAGCTTAGAGAGGAGTAGAAAAGCATCTTTACCTGTAAAAACCCTCTGCTTGACGCATGTTGCATTTCTGTGGCTCTGATGCCCGATGCCCCTTGAGCAATTCCCGGGTCTTCAATTTTAGGATTTCCCTGATTTCATCTGTCGCTTTGAGATATTTTGACGTCTTAGTGGCATTTGGATTACTGTTATTTTCTTCACATTGTTCTTAGTTCTATGAGAATCCCCTGCTTGTTACTTTCACATCTAACAAACCATATCCTCTGATATTTTGAGGGCTGAATTCGAAGTAAAATAAAACTAGATTGTTAATTTGTTCTTTGTTTTTTGAACATAATTTATGGACTTACATAGACAGACTCCAACTACCTGGAAACTAACGAAAGCATTCTGTTGGCAGCGAAGTTTGTAACTTCGTATACAGAAGAGGAGATCATAAAAATTGTGAGGGACATTCTCAAGCATGTACTCGATCCTTCCTCTGACCTACAAGGTTAGTGAGCCTCAAAAGGTTGAATCATTTTGGATGTCTTCAACTTTAGCTCAGTCAAACCATGATATATCAATGATTAGTAGTGTTGGAATCTGCCAAGTTAGATTAACGGATCAATGGCCTAAAAGGGACAGATACTCCAAACCAAAACACGTATTAGAGAATACATTGGCCACCTCCCACCATTACTGCAAAGTACTTTTGGCATTATTATGTCTTTTTTTTTTCGGTGGTTGTACCATACGACTTGGATACGGATTTGGAGGGGAATACGTAGCAAGTACCGGCTCAATTTTTTTTTTTGGGGTACAATTGAGGGCTAAGCCCAAAAGGAAACTAGCTACTTACAGCATTATGGCACCTGGACTTAGACTCCACCAAAGCCTTCAGATTCGCTGGCCAACTATCAAATCAATAAGATTGGGATAAACCCATTTTAGCCATAGCATCCGCAACCCTGTTGCAATCTCGCGGAATATATGTTAACTGGACCTCCAAATTAAGATTCAGCATCTCACGGATCCTGATGAACATTAAGCTGCAATTATCATTCCTTTCCTTACTGCTCAGTTGCGTAATCAAAGTCTTGGAGTCTGATTCAAGTAACACGCATTGGAATCCAAAACCCCAAGCCGGATTCAAGCCTTTATATATTGCCCATTCCTCAGCTTCTAAAACACTACAAAAGCCAATTTCCTGGCAAAATCCAGCAATCCAAGCACCAGTTTTACCTCTAATAAGAGTGCCGGTTCAATTTTGATTGTCCTTGGCCAATTTCCTTTTTATATTTTTGCTTGAAAGGCCATGGGTAACAGTCTTGAGGCCCAATTACTAATATATTGGTGGTCACACTAAGCACATTCCTCGATCGGAGCTATTTCCTGAGAGTCTGGCGAAAGAAGCTGCTAAAGCTTGAATTCCAAATGCTATTTGTAAACAGTGCTGGTGTTCATTATTTATTTACTTTATCTTGACTCAGATCAGATCCTTCTATGTATCCATGATCGAATTTTAAATTCATTCACCAGATAACGTTTGAAACCAAACCAGCTTAACACCGAGACAACCTTCTATGACTTAAAACAGTTCATAGAGTTCTAATGCCGATTTAATTTGCTGAAAATTGAGCCGTTTTGCTTATCTTTTGGAAAAAAGCAGGATACTTTGATGATTAGTGTTATGAAAAGTTGAAAAGACACTTTTAGTTATTATTATTTTTAATAATAAAGAAAGAAAGAAGTGTGGTCATGGGTAAATTAAATGTACAGCCATGTATGCTGACTATTTGACCCATTTCCTGTACAAACACAAATAGTGAATGAAGGGGGTGGTCCAAAAGAGGCACTGTTGATGACAATGATCTGATCCTTTGAAATTGAGTGCCAATCTAAAATGCCTCTGGCTGTGCGGTAGTGTGTGTGTTTTGATTCCCCTGTCGGTGGCCTATCTCAGAGTCTCACCACAATACAAAAGCCCCTCTTTCCTCCTTCAGGCCTCATCCTTCCTTCCTTCTTGTTCCCCGTGCCACTTTCGTTTGAGCTGTCATTGACCACGAACCCAACATTACAATACAATTCAAACTCCGATTTCAATCCGGTCAACAAAAAAAAAAACTCCGATTTCAATCCTTAAAAATTTCATTTCAATATATATATATAAATATATAACACTTGTAGACCCCCAAGGGTTGAGACTTGAGAGCGACCTGTGGACCCCAAATACAGACGTATATATCTTGATTTGCGAGACTAATTTTAATTATAAGCCACTAATACTCATGATTTTTTACATGATGATGTCCCATTTCACAGATTTTTTGGATACCAAATCATGCTGATTGCTACAAGTATCTACATTTTAATCTTGCTTTTGGGTCTCAAAAAGTGGTTGGTTAAATCGATATCTCGTTAACATTTCTCTCTCAATTCAAGGATTTACATTGTAGATGTAAGCAACTAGAATAATTAGCCCACCCGAGATAGAAGAAATGAAGTCACTACTCTGCAATATGGTATGAGCAATCCACGTGTGACAGACCCAACTTCTGAGTTCTAATTGACAATTGGTTTCTTTGTTATTCTCTTCTGTTCACATATGAACAGCACTCCACAACGATGATCCAAAGAAAGGAAAGCATGTAATAATGAAGCATTTATGAGGGGGAAAGAGAGGGCCAATCAGGTGCGATGATCATTTATTAAAGCAGAAGGCGGTCCCTTAATTCCGAACTCATCTCTTCCTCTTTTGCTTACTGCAATTGCCACTTACCATACACAACCAAACCTACCCGCTATCCCTGTTTTCGCCAATGCTTTTATTTTTTTATACTATATACTCCTTGGCTCCTACTTATATCTCACTCGAATTAAAGAAAACCAAAATTTTAATTTACTCCGTCTTGAAATTTAATATTTTGTTGACGTTATTCCTGTTTAATAGGAATTTTACACTCCTATTAATAATAAATAAAATGTACAATTATATGTGACTTATAGATGGAACCAAAAAAAAAAAAACACATTTTTTGTCCCTTGTAAATAAGATTAAAGGAGTAACCTAACAAACCCTGTCATGCTTTCCTCTTTTGCTTCACCTCACGCCTTAGACTTAAAGATCCTATGCCATCTCATTTTCAGTCGCAAGAGAACAAGAGTGAGGGATCGGAGCTAACGATAGTACATATTCAAAAGTTTTCTCCAAATGCTGCGTGGGGTTGCTCGCCCCACATCGGCACTAATGATAGAAGCCATTTTGCTGATAAACGACATCCTTCTTCCGAATTCGTTGTTTTGAAATTTCAACAGCTGTTCCCACCACCATCTTCTTTCTCACCAACCCAAATATATATCTCAGTTACATATGACTCTCCTGTACGTTCAACTATTTTCATTTGACATTAGTAGCTGGTAAAGTGGTCCGAATTTAATCTGATCATGGAGTTACATCCATGGGGAACCGAGTTCACTGCCTGTTTTCCAGATCTTGCAAATGTGCCGAGGATAATTAACTGTTGAAAATTCACTGAATAATGAGTGGAATTATTAATGAGATGGACCCATTCGTGCATTAAGAGGAGAGAGTACTTTTCTGACTGCTTATGATGCCTGGATTCTACCATCCCAGGACGTACCATATATACACATTTTGGTTGAAGAGATATATATGCCAATATTCATATATATATTAGCCGCAAGAAAGTGCCACATCATATATAGGCGCGTTATTTAACATGTGTCTGTCTATATATTTGAATGTGTCCTTTTCTTTGTTTGATGATCTTCCTTCTCTGTTATGGAAAATGGCAACACAAAATGGGATTTAGGGCGATTCCATATATATGTGTGCACCTGAAACAATTCGCAGAAAATCATGTGATATTGTCACACTCACAAGTGACAAGTAGTGCCCCATTTGATGGGTAACTAAGAAGGGTGTCCCCGCACCTCGGACCATAATTTATTATATTCGCTCATTCAAACACATAAAATTAAATCTCATATCTTAACTCGCGCACTATCAGCAACTAAAATAAGATCTCATAAAACAATAGTTGCTCGATCGAAAATTACATGATTTAATAATTTTGACGCATGGAAACAAATGAAATGTGATCGAAAGTTTGAGTGGTTTGTTTCAATTTGAAATATATCAATACGTACGTGTCCTTTAAGATATAGGCACTTTTCCTCGTCCTATATATATTGTGACACAGACGTCTATGTTTTGACATATACATACACGAAACAGTGCAAAACTTTAAAGAAAAGGAAAAACAATGAACCATGGGTTGAAGGTTGAAAATCAGATAGACGAATCAGATGCTCCCTTGGTTTTATAATGTCCACCACCGTTGATAGACGTTAGTCATGAAATTGTTAGAAAAATATATATACCAGCGCATAGTGAGGGGATGAGTTGGAACACATGTCATCAAGTTATCCTATCATTAATGTTGTATTATTTTAATTAATTATACCGTTCTCTCTAATAATCATACCTTAATTAACAACTTTTGTTGTCAGAATCTCTCAACGGTCTGGCAGGGGCATATGGCTCGTGCATGCTGGACTGTCAAAAGCTTGGATGTTTTCAGAGTACTATGGAAATGCTAAATTACTATTTGAAAAAATAATTGTCTCCTAGATAGAGTTTTTAAATTTTTTATACACTTTCTATCTAGCTTTACACCTAAGAAGAATTTAAAAAAGGGGGGAATAAATTCTCTTGATAAAACTTTTAAAGAATCTATGTTCAGTTATTGATATTACTGAGCTCTTCAACCAACTGGCGATGAATTGTTCTAGTTTAACTAATAGTCTCATATTCCTATCATAAATATGCAGCTGTGATAATTACTCAGTGTGTTATCATTAAAAACCTTGCAAAAACACCTCATTATCATATATCTATATAATTTTTTTATATTTTATTTTATTAATTAAACACTTATTTTCCCTTATAATTAATTCATAGCGGAAGGAAAATGATCCGCCATAAGAGGACGTTCATCCCCAATAAATAAATGAGAAGCCACCAGACAGCAGTTTCTTTTTTTGCCCTTTTGGAGGATATTTGACCCAACTGACAATGATGATCACTTCTTTGACCTGCAACTGCAAAGCACAACTACTAGCTTTGAACATTTAAATCTTAAGAAGCACCCTGTACGTAATTGATGTTTATAAAAAGAAAAAATCGTAATTGATTTATTAATTCCAATTTGCATAAAGCTTTTAGCATGTCTGGCTCTTACGCACAAAATTAATTAAAATGAATAGTTCATAACACATCCCCACAAGAAAGGGGCCGGTTTCGACCCAGCTAGCTTTGATCAATTAATGAACACTAAATTAAAGAAGTAAAATATATGTTTGTGGCAAAATTGAGACGGAATTCAACAAAGCAATTGAGGCAAATAATAAAATAATTATAAAATTCATTAGTTTTCTTTTCGTACTCCTTAGTTTTCTACTTTTTGAAGTTTGTGAGAATTTTGCAGTAAAAGATTTAGAAGATATATGGACTATCATCATCTATGAAACCAAACTTATGTGAGATATTAATGGCCTAGAGTTTTACATAATAGGAGCCACGTGAAATACAATTAAATGGAGATATGTGAAAGGAAAGTTTGCTGTGGGCGAAGAAAGCGATATTCATAAATAACGATGCTCTTGCTTTAATAAACCTTTTTTTATTAGTTTACGTATGGTGATGATTGCTATTTGGTGAGTAATTAAATCTAATGATACATGTCAACTGCTGAAGCAAGTCCATAATATGATTTGGTGCTTTATATTCGATATTGTCGGCTAATGATTCCAATATAAGAAGCCCACACACGGCCTTTTTCTTTACTTTTTTTTTTCTTTGAGTTAGTTTTTCACTTTGGATTAATAATTTATATTAATCGCATAGTACCCCACAATCACGAGCGCAAAACAACGGTGCAAATGTCTCCCCCAATATCCCTTTAATTTCTTTTCAATGAAAAAGTATATTTTCTTATCTTTTGGTACTTGTAATTATAAGCTTGTGAACCCTTCCTATGTAAAGCGCCATTATTTACCTTTATACCACCTATGGCTATGAGGAGCCAAAATTTAAGAATGAAGGAATCGAGATTAAAAAGAATTTCCTCTGATTCTTAATATAAATTTTATTTAACTAATTTAACAGATTAAAAAATTATTTAAATTGATTATTTATGAAAAAATATTTTCTGGTTTTCTTAAATGTTTTATTAAATCATTTGTATTGAAACTATTTTATAATACAAATTCTCTTAACATATACAATTAATAGAGATATTAAAAAAATAAAAATGGGACAAATTAATAGATTAAGCTCTTATATTACCTCAACCAACTCTTACCTTAGAGAGAGAGGGGAGGTAGTACGTATAAATTTCACTAGCAGGCCCTTTCTCCACCCCTTCTGCTTGTCCCTCTCTTTCCCTCCCTGGATCTCTCTCTCACCCTCAATCATTCACACATGTACACGAACAAAAGCATCTTCTTCTATCTTCTACTCATGCTCCGCAACAGTGAAGCTGAGATGATTGCAAAACGGAAAACCCAAAAGAAAAATTGTTGTGAATTACAATGACCCACGCAATACCAGAAATCCAGAATAAGTATATCAAATAGACGTTCTTTTAGTGTTTCTTACTTTTTTCATGTATATTTAGATAATATATTATCACTTTGTTTAAAAAAGAATTCCATGTGCATGTCATAATTTGCTGCATCTCTCTCTCGTGTTTTTAATTTATGTACAGTGGTAAGTGTCACTCTGCTCTGTGCTTGTCCTTGTCCCCCTCTTCTCATAACCCGGAAACTGCTATGATAGTGTCAGTGATATCTGTTTCTGTCAACACTGACTTGCTTTTGTTTTATATTTGTGTGTATATATATATATATATTTCTTTTGCAGTGGCCATGACTGGATAACGTTACTTTGAAGACTCCGATATATCTGTCACATGTGACAACACGTAAACTAACTCAATGATGCCATATAAAAACGGGGAACAATACTCGGCTGTGATTCATACTAAATTAATGGCAAAAATATCTTAATTATTTTTATGAATGCTTTTGAAAGAACGTTGAGAGAATTTGAGTAACTTTCCGACAGAAATGATGATGTAAAATATATAAGAACGCCCGTGCAATTGATGAAATATTGTCACTTTTGGATAACGCCGAGAAGCAGAGCGTTATAATTCATCTCCAAAGCCAAGGCCCTGAATTTGAAGAAGTCCTGCTTAAAATATCAAAATCAAATCAATGGTAGGTTTGGCTTCTTGTTCTATCTGTATGGAAGAGGAAAAGACAGAATTAAACAGAAAAAAGGGCCCCATGTGATTTCTTTCGCCAGTCGTATGCTCGTATGTTATGACACTCATCAAATGATACTCTACAATATACCCTTGCCTTCGTCTATCTCTATTACACAACCTAAGCTAGTCAGGT